GGAGAGAAATGTGTTTTGTGTTCTTTTCTCACGTTTCCTATAAGCACACTAAAACTACAGCTGATAACCTTTACTTATTATTACAGTCATGTCTCCATATACATGATATCCACAAGCATGTGAGGATGTGTTTCGGCTGCTAACAGGCGCCAGAATTAAAATTAAAAAATTAAACAAGTGTGAACTCTAACGCGATATCTTCATCAATCGTTACCCATGAGCTACACATGTAGAGACATCTGTCCAACTTGAATGCCGGCTTTCAGCCACTCCCCCTGCTGCGTCCGTCTGCTCTCGTCTCTTTTCCAGGCGAGGCACTGCTCAACTCGGAACAAGGCCATTTTTACGTGACTCAAGGTGGTACAGCTTCTGAAGGGGACATGAATGTTGCCAACCTACACATATTTTTTTATTATAAAATTTATTTACATGGGAAACATTCTCGATAAAACGCAGACATTTCCATAACGATACATTTCTGATATATTGCCCAGCGCTGCTACGTGGGTAAGGAGACAGGCTCACAGAGGTTGACAAAAGACATGCCCAACCTTTTAACTATCTGTCAAAAGTGACCGAGATTGCAAGCTTGTGATTGGTCAGGATGCCGCTTCCTTTAAATTCATCGACTGCACCGCCATTACTCCCTCAAACAATAAGATATTTAGCAGCAGACACGGAACAGGTTGAAACGTCTGAAAATAGGAACGTTTATTCATCCGTCACTGAAGGAGTACAAAGATACACAGCAAGCATTTTTTTCATGGGCGGAAATGATGGGAAACGTGGGTTCAGTGGTGCCGATCACATGGTGAGGTGGAGGAGAATAAGGGACAAATTTGTCCATGTTAAAAAGTCTCACATAATAATAAATGCACTGTCTTGGAATACATGACTGTAATGGTGGCAGGTTACATCAGAAACGTACTACGCCCTCTGTTGTCCTGGCAGGGAGTGCTTTGCAATACTCCCCAGTTGTAACAGAGAAGTCTGAAGTGAAAACCTCTCCGTCATTGTCTCTCTGCAACTCCACACTCGAGCTGACAGGATAAGTATAAATCAGGCTTTAGAAACAGCTTTGGCATCAAATTTGGACGATTTATACTTGCGCTTTTCTGAGACATGAGCAGATAGTGGTAATTAAGTCCTTTATTTAGAAAAAGGATGTATTTGCTTCTTCTGTATGGCAAACTGTCCTGCTAATTTCTAGAGATGCACCGAAATGAAAATTCTTGGCCAAAACCGAAAATGGGGAAACCAAGACCAAAAGAAATTGTCAATAATTAGAACCATAGTATTTATGGCTATGATGTGTACAAACCTTACTAAAATCAAGGCATTGCAATAAGTCAGTTACAAAACCATGAGAATATTTATGTAGCACTGACATAACAATGCACAAAATGCATTAAAACTCTAAAAACGTTTCAGATGACCAATCATGTACATTAAATAATAAATTATAAACAAAAGTAATTATAAATTTACAGGCTTATAACTGAAAGGCCCACTGAGACTGTAAAATTAACCCTTTAAGCACAAAAGTCCCAATGTTGCATTTAAAGAGCCACAGCTGCTAATATAATCCCTCATGAAGTTATTACTTTACACCAGAAGATAGTGGAGATGAGCAACACTTTTGGGTGTTTCTATTGAAATTTTCTGAGTTTATAGAGTTTGAAAACTACCCCCCATTGGAGGCTCCTGACTGAGGAGAGAAGACGAGCGGGGCATACAGAGGGTGAATATTATTATATATTAGTGAGGAGTAGGGCTGCACAATATATCGAAAAATTATCGTCATCGCGATAACAGGACGTGCGATAGGCCCATCGCAAAGCACGTCAAAAACGGCGATAAATGTTTGGTTCAAACATTTCCATCCGTGTCATACATCAGCTTTTTGTAAACCAGCTCTGTTTTTTACGCAGAAGTGTTATTTGACCAATCAAATGTAGCCCTTCTGATATGCGGCCAATCAGATGGGTCCGTTCACGTAATACGCCCGCCCCCTACGTAGACCCTTAGGGTGGGTGGAACACAACAACCGAACAGAGTTTGCGGCGCCGTTCCCTTGTTCGTCATGCTGGCTCAGAGCAACGAACGCACTTTGTGCTGAGGTTTCTGGAATCAACGCTGCTTTCAAACGTGAACGTGAGTCCGCTCGGTGTCGTTAAGCAACTGATAATAACCGGGCTGACTCCGACACGTGCCGGTGAACCAACCCACCTTCATGTCGCTAGTGTTCCACCGGGTGGTGATGTTAGCCCCAGGCTCCGGTTAGCTTCCAGCTAAAAGGCTACAGCACTCTCCTCCCAGTCCCACCCTGAGCTGCTAAAGAGGGCCTGGAAAAGTTCCCCCACCCATCAAAGTGATTTTTCCTTTATGAGCTTTTATAACCTTGTTAATCAGGATAGTTGATTTGCTGCTGCACATAAACTGTCAGTCAGAAGCTCTGCTAGCTGGTTATCTTAAGAGGAGCTAGTTCAATTTGTTAGCTTGTTACCAGAATCATAGTTGCAGTTTCATCATCTGACCTGCTTTTTAAGATCTAGGTAAACTTGTTCAATTTGGGATTAAAAACAAACATTTTCACATATTTTCCATGTAGTTTTTTTTTTTTTGCCAGTTCCTCTTCTGAAAGGTAGACAATTGTTTTTCTCTATCCCTCAGAAATTCTTAATATTCTCCTAGTTTGGCCCAGCACAGTTCACTTCCCAATTACAGCAACAGCCTTATATCATAACCACATAAGTAGCAATGAGATAATTTGCTGTTGCATTTAAGTGATGTTAACTATTATTTAACATTTAAACTTATTTTCTGATATTTTTTATTCATTCAAAAACCCTGGTAAGGGATGTTTTTCTGTATTTGGAGCATCAGAAAAAGTTTTCTGGTGGAGGTGATGTTTTAAAGTCACTGAGAAACTGCACACATGCAGTTTGTTGTTTTGCTGCTAATACAGTAGCAGGTGCAGCTTCATATTTATTCAATAAAAATGTTATGTTGTAATGAACTTCATGCATTAGTTTTTGTTTGCTTTAAACCCAGAGCAGACGTCACACGCCAGACGACATCAACACTGCATACTTTAGTATTTGTTCATTTATCGTTTCCACCCCAGAGCTCCACAAGCCGGCAGCCGCACAGCAGACAAGCGCCGCTGCGATCTGAGATGCGCAGAGCTGCCGCTGGGGAGAACTGGGTGGAAAGGTTTCCATTCCAGAGCTCCACAAGCCGACAGCCCGCGCAGCAGTCGGAAGCCGCGGTCAGACAGAGATGCATCGGGCTGCGGGGAGGCGAGAACGGGTGGAAAACATCGGTCTCCCGAGAGCTCCTCAAGCCGATAGTCGGAACCCAGCTCCACCAACATGTTATATTTCAACCCATTTTCTAAAGTGCAGCATTATGTTAAATGCACTGGGTTTTACCCTATTACATTTAAATTTCATGGTTAAACAGTACATGTTAAAATCTAAGCTCAGCTCGGCAGTGACCTAAAATACATAAATATAATTTTACTTACCGAAAAAAATGAAGCGGAGACTCCTTGGACGCTCTATTAGTGCAATTAATGCCACAGCAAGTCATTTTGTCCAACAATTGCACAAAAAATATCAAAACAAGAATACACAAACACAGAGACTCAAAATCCCGGAGCAGTTTCCAAGCCAGACCGAGGCTCTACTGAGGCATTTCCACGGAGCTAGCTCTGCGGTCACGTGGGTCTGATGCTCATTAATTATACAGAATTTTAGGCTTTTAATACACTTAAACAGAAGAGTGAGAAAAAAATTCACCCCCCTCAGAGTTGTCATGAGTGTAAACTAGATCATTTAAACCAAAAACATGTTTTGGTACCAGGCTGTAAACATGTTTATTTCTGCTGTGAAATTGGTATTTTTAACATGGGAGTCAATGAGGATTTGCTCGCTTCTGACACAAGCCCCCAGTGGATGAGGGTGGAACTGCAATTTTTGTCACTTCCGGGATAGCTTCAATTGTTGAGCTGCATTGTGGGGGCTTGGGTTCATCAAGTGGTCTGTTTCGGCCGTGTTGTTTCGGTGATTTTGGTGTTTTGGCCCAAAAAAAACGAAAAGGCACTTGTGGGTCATTTTCGGCCGAGAATTTGTGGCCGAATTTTCGATGCATCCCTACTAACTTCCGTAGTGATGAATGCGTCATATTGCTTGCTCTGATTGATCCTAGCATTGTCCAATAGCGTGCAGACAACTGTAGATTCCTTCCAATGGCTGAGCTCTGTCTATGGGTTTTGGCCAGACTTTATATTTACAAATATAGGATGTTGTGCCAGCAGATCTACATTTTAAATAATATTAACATTCATGTCGGGGCAAATTCAGTATTTTGTCTGACTGCAGCTTGTAAGGAGCCATGTTTAAAAGTGGTGAAGCATACCTGCAGCTCTGTAGCCTGCACCAAGTACTAATGTAAAACCAGCAATGCAAACAAACTCCCAGTAACTGGATGGAATCGTACCATTGGCCCAGCAGCAACAGCACCTCCAGCCACCACTTTCTCCTGCTGTCATAAGAAGGGTAATGACTATTTAGTCCAACTGGGCTTAGTGGAGTCATTTATTTACCTGTGCAGTACAAAAACAGCTGCATGGGTCTCCTCCTCTCGTGCCTCGTTTCTGAATGTGCTCCATGGTGAAACATGTTTGTTTTGTTTCCACCTTTAACAGTTTTCCCACCAGGCTCCTGAAATAGCTCCAGTGATTAGTTAACTGAGTTGCAGGCCTGACCAAGTCTTGTTTTCTCCCGAGAGATTTAAATCCAAAGCTTTTGTCATAAAAATGAGGACTCATGTTGGTCATCACACCATGGTCCTGTCACGGGGAGCTAGCTCGATGATTAGCATGTAAGCGTTTCTTCTCTCAAGCAGCAGATAAAAGAGGAAAGGCTATTTTTATTTTACGACTGCTACCTACATTCACTTGTTTACTCTTCTACCCACTCTTGTTGTCTTGACAGCCTCTCAGTCAAACAACAGCCTGAAGAAGCAGAGGAGTCGGAGTATATTCAGCACATTCTTATGTTGCTTTCGCAACTACAATGTGGAGCCGCCAGCCACAAACACCAGCTCCCCACCTCCACCTTTTGTGGAGAACGGATCACCTCCTAAGGTAACACACGTCTCAGATAAAATAAACACACACATGCCAGCTGTCCAGCACTGGACTCTACACGTGTCACTTGATGAGTTGATTTCATCTTTAGGAAAAAGTTTATTTGTCCATGTGAGTCTTTTATTTATGGGATCCTTTTGTTTCTTTATTTTTGTGTTTATTCAAACCCTCACCCTGTTTTTGTTTGTGTGTGTGTGTTTGTGTGACTCTCTCTCTCTCTCTCTCTCTCTGTGTTGTAGTGTGACCAGGTCGAGGTCATCCCTGTTCCTAGTGTATGTATTGAGTTTATTTCTTTTTCTATGCATGCGGCTGAGTGGGAGGATTTGACACATCCTCCCGGTGTGGGTTCACTTGCTCATCTGAGCCTTGCCTCTGCTTTCTTTACTGCTGTTTATTTTCAGAGGATGGAAGATGTACAAGCACCCATGGCTTGGTGTCCAAGTGCTTCACCTGCATGAGTGGCACTTGGTTGCTTGATGCTTAAAAGCCACTGTGACACAAACTGTGTAAAGTGTGTTTTAACTCCCTAAAACAGAAAGTCAGTCATTTGCTTCTGCTCCTAATCCATGCAGCTGAATGACGCCGAGTTGTTTTTAGGTTTTGATTATTAACGCCGTTCAAAATAATTGATTCTTTAACTTGGAGAAAGACTTGGATCTGCTTACCTGTGGCCTTATTAACAAGCCCATTCAATTATCCACCGATCAGCTTTGGTTCATCAGCTTAAAAACGCCAATCTGTTCAAACGCAGCTGGCAAGCTAAACATGGCGTCCGCCTGTAAGAATGAGATTATAAAAGAATCACTCCGTCTTTTTGACAAAGCTTCCAGTGGAAAAGTTCAGATTAGTTAAAATCTCTGCCAGTTTAAAGGACAGCTGGCCACAGAGGAACCAGTTCAGCCAATAATAAACCTGTTATAAATGTCTTATAAACCTTTACTCTGCAATAGTTACCTGCAGCAGAATTACTAGTTTTATTAACACCATAATAATCATGAGACATTTACAGCAGGGCCTAGGTTTAAACTTGGCTAATGAAGCCGTGGTAAGGGTTATCTATGACAGGTAAGATAATAATAATTCAACCCTTCCAACTACAATCCACCTGAACGATCCGAGTGTTCCTTTTTGTTTTTTTACTACAGACATGGAAAAAGGTGGTCAGATATCAAACGTATCTTCAGTGATTTAATGTAACTTTATTTAACCTGTTTAGTCCCTCAAACTTCGCTGAGTAAAAAAAAAAAGACAGATGAGTTTATTCAACGTGTCAAAAGTCTTTATTTTGTTTATCAGACCTGTTGGTCTGATAAATATGCTGTATGCTTCATCTCTTCAGGACTACGTCAGTCTAGTCGTCTGTCTCCTAAAGTCTCTGTGATGATGGACATGCGTGTAATTTGTCCTAGTCTTTTTGATTGTGTCAGAACTGAGGGACAATTCCAATCGAACGACAAACTGTTAAGCTAGTTTAGGGAACGTTGACCGTCTGAACCTGAAACGTGAGAAAATATTTGTTTACTCTTGTTTTCATTTGCACTAAGATGAAGTGGGCGTGTCCACTGATCAGCTGAAACTCAAATGAAACGAACCCACAGAGCTGAGTTTGTTCTTGATCACACCTTACTGTTAGTGTTCTCACACACACACACACACACACACACACACACACACACACACACACACACACACACACACACACACACACACACACACACACATCTCTGTTCCTCAGCTGAGAGTTAAGCTACCTAAAACACGAAGCACACAAGTCGGGGGTGCGCTGTGCCAAATGTTTGGATGAGAACAAAGTCTGATCGGTCACCTTGATTTCCTTTAAAATAATGCCCTCCAGCTACTAACGTTAACAACCTACTTCATGCAAACAAACGGTCCTCCTTTGTCTCAGTGTGTCTCTTCTCTTCTCCACAGCCGCCAGCCAAATACCTCCTCCCAGACATGATAATATCTGACCATGGTAAAAAGTGTGTTGTGATTGACTTGGACGAAACACTCGTGCATAGCTCCTTTAAGGTAAGGAGAGACTAAAATGTAAATTGAGGTTCACTGATTTAGGAAACGCTAGCAAAAGACGGGAGGCATGTCTCAAATAAAGCTTATTTTATTTGTAGTTTTGTGCCCTACATGCTCAGTAGTACAGAATGCTCCTAATTGTTATTATCATTTATTTTGCTTTCTGCCTCCACGTTTGGACCGCCCAGCTCCCGTAACAGCTTTTCTCTGCTTTTATAGCAGCACCGTCCACGATCAAGCAGAAAACCAAGTTTATTTAGTTGGTGTGTGAACTCGTTTCAATTGTTCCAACACTATATTAATTATTTCTTATCCTGAATAGTCTTTGGATGGTGGTTCTTATTGACTCTAGTGTGATAACTCATTTTTAACTCATTCACTGCCAGCTTTTTCAGCGTTTTCACAGTTTTTAAGAGTCACAGAACGTTGCACTCTAAGAGGATGTCAACACCAAAAGTAACAAAATAAAGAGAAGACTCGCCTCTTACATCAGGAAGAATCTGCGCGTTTCCAACATTATCTGTTCTTTCATAATCCGTTGTCGAATTGTGATCGGCAGAAGCTTTTCCGGTTTGTGCCTCACTTTATTTTACAAAACGATCTCCTAACACATGGATTTTCTGCTTCCTGATCACGTGACGTGTGACGTATGCGGATGAAGATCGGCTTTAAGAGCTGAGATGTTTGTTCTCACGGTGCGGGGGCTCGTTCCGAAGCCCACACAGTAAAAACATGCAAATGAACGGCATTGAACTGTTGGATTTAAAATGATGACTTTTGTCGTCAGTGGCGGTGAAAGAGTTGAGCATAAATCGGTGTCTGCCGGTTAGATTTTTTTATTCCAAAATAACAGCTTAACTCATTTAGAACCTAATTTTAGTTGACTTTAACTCATTCACCGCCAGCTGTTTCCTGATCACTAACGACCTTCGCTGCCAGCGTTTCTCACCGTTTTTACTGTTTTTTTAAGAGTCACAGAACGTTGCGCGCTAGCATGATGTCGATGCCAAAACAGCCAAAACAAAGCGGAGACTCACCTCTTACATCAGGAAGAAGCCGTGTGTTTCGAGCGTTATCCGTTCTTTCGTAATCCGTTGTCGAATTGTGATCGGCAGACGCTTTTCCGGTTCGCGCCTCACTTTTTTTACAGGAACGGCCCAAAACGATCTCCAAACACATGGATGTGTTGCTTCCTGATCATGTGATCTGTGACGTATGCGGATGAAGATCGGCTTCAGGGCTGAGATGTTTGTTCTCTCAGCGCGGGGGCTCGTTCCGATGCTCAAACAGTAAAAAAAATGCAAATGACGACTTTAGTCGTCATCGGCAGTCAACGGTTGGATCTAAAATGACGACTTTAGTCGTCAATGGCAGTGAATGAGTTAAATACGACCTGGTTTTATTCTCAACAGTTAGACTTTTTTCAACATTCTAATTGTAATTCTCAATATGGTCTTCAGTTTCGTAAACAAAGATTAAACATGTCTATTTTTCTTCTGGTTGCTCCTAACGCACCATCACACGTTCACTCCCTTTTTTATTTTATAAAGAAAACAAGATGAGTAAACAGTCATTGTGTTAATTGACTTTGTTTCCCTCTTGTTTATTTTTTGTAGTATTTGTTCAGCTCATCATTGCCCAAAGAGAAACTAGCATTTTATTTTCTTGCTTAGTTACTGCTTGGGTTACAGTAAAGAGGGAATGTCGACTGAAGTCGACCAAAGTGCTAAATAAGATTCCAAAACTACATTAGGCTTTAGGAAATAACTCAGTAAGTGGGATTTTAATGCAGTTAGGAGGCCCTCTGGTGGTCAGTTAGAGTATTACCCCAGCAGTTTAATGACCCTGTCTGTTTCCCTCTACAGCCTATCAGTAATGCTGATTTCATTGTACCAGTGGAGATCGATGGTACCGTTCATCAGGTATGGTACAAAAACATCAAAAAATGTATATTTTAACGTAAACGTGTGTTTCCTGTGCGGAGATCCTGAAGAGATGGGCTGTTATCCAATTCAAGTAATCCAGGATAGGCTGTGTGCATTCGGGTTGGCCTATTCATGATTACTTGCGCTGGGTTTCAGCTGCTGGGCGAGGAGTGGGTGACGCGGGAATCAGGGATTTGGGTGATGTCATTTTTATTTATTTGTTTTAGAAACGCGGCGGTGCTGCTCTCGTGTGGGTGGAGTAAAGCTGTGGTGTTTTTCAGGTGTATGTTCTGAAAAGACCCCACGTGGACGAGTTTCTGAAGAAGATGGGAGAGTTATTTGAATGTGTGCTCTTCACAGCCAGCCTGGCCAAGGTGAGTAGCGGTGGACCTTAGCCAGTGACACCTGGCCCGTAAACCTTTATCTGCTCATCTTCAGCTAGTCTGGATTGTGGATTTTCACGTTCTTTTGATTTGCTTCTTTTTTTTTTTAATCTTTACCAAAAGTTCATGGGTAAGTCTAATGACATAGACATGACTCGTGTTTTAATTCATCACGCCGAGTCAGAGTTAGGAACCAGCTGTGCCATTTGGTAGAACATCCTGAGACATCTTCCTGGACTCAAACTGTCACCAACAAGCTCTGCTTCCTGTTAAAATGATCTCCTAGCATTTAGATCTTAATGTTGTTCTGTGTCTTCTTGCATAGCTGACCTCCTAAACTCCTGCTTTAGTTTCTGCTGCTGTGTGTGCCTGCTTCTCACCTGTCTGCGTGCTGTGACGTCCTGTCTTTGGTGTTCTTGGACAGTATGCAGACCCTGTGGCAGACCTGTTGGACCAGTGGGGAGTTTTTCGAGCACGACTTTTCAGAGAATCGTGTGTTTTTCACCGAGGGAATTACGTTAAAGACCTGAGCCGGCTGGGGCGCGAGCTCAACAATGTTATTATTGTTGATAATTCCCCGGCCTCTTATATTTTCCATCCAGAAAATGCTGTAAGTTTCCAAAGCTGGTGCCCCCCCCCCCCCCCCCCCCCCCCCATTGCCATTGTGTCTTAAAAAAGGAATGACAGACCAACGCTTCCTCTCTCTGAACTCTCAGGTTCCAGTTCAGTCCTGGTTTGATGACATAAATGACACAGAGCTGCTGGAACTGCTGCCTTTCTTTGAGGGACTCAGCAAAGAAGACGAGGTTTACGGAGTCCTACAGAACTTGAGAAGCAGGTAGCAGGACAGTCTGTGGCGCTGGCCGTGCTCTCCAGCCTCCTCTTTGTCCCCCTCTGTCCCTTCCTGCAGCCACTTCTCCAGACTCGGGCTGATGACCTCATAGACACGCCTCGGAGCCTCACTGTGGAAAGTAACCATGTCTGCTGGTGACTGGCTGCCTTCTGAGTGCCATCACACAAACAAGAACATTACTTATCCCAGGACCACTTTGTTGCACAGAAAACACCAGAAGGTGTCCTTCGCTTTTAGCACTGGGGACAAAAATGAAGAGGAATGAACTCTGGTCTTTATTTTCAAATTTCACGTTTTACTGATTGGTAAAAGTGCTATTTTTAAAACCAAAAGGAAAAAAAAAAAAAAGAAAACATTTTCCACCTGAGACTTTTGTGCCACCAGAACAAAGCGCAGAAAGGATTTGGCCCTCCAGTTGTTGCTATGCAGGCAGGTTCTGGTGGTAGAAAGGATGCAGACTCTTTTCTTACTGAATGAAGTGCCTTTTGTGAATGTTGTTTTTATGAGGACTTATTTTGTACATGACATATTTTCACAGTGCATCAGTCGTTTTCACACATTTACACATCAACATGAACACAAAAAGCATCCTTGTTGAAAAGAGTCACTCTGATCATCAAAATGCTGAGTCACTATCTCGGCGTGTTTCTATTCTGTGTGCTTGTGCCATTATTTAGGTGTGACGTCTCTTGGTTTCGTTATATGTAGACATAGTTTTGTTTTAGACAAACGAGTAAAGCCGGCCCTTATTTGGTCTGGACGCTCAGATGAGTCCGTGCCACTTTACCCTCACTGCATTTTAGTGATTGCCAAATAAGGAAGGTATTTTTTAACAGGCTTCATATCTTTACCGGGTTTTGTGCTAAAACTGTTAAGTCATTCATAATTATAATGTTTTAATTTTTGTTTAAATCATGTATGGTTTTAGTCCGTTCTTTTTTGCCGTCATGTCGGGTTACTTTTATGGCACGCGCGTGGTGCAGCTCACCCTTTGAGGGAGCGTCGTCGTTGAAAATGGTGCACATTTACAAACAAAGGTGTCCTTCTGTAGGTGTTTCACGCGCTCGTGTTTTTTTGTGGGGGGTATTATCGGAGTCTCTAGGGAGCGGAGCGGAGGCAGATCGGTGTTAAAGCTGCACCGTTCATCTGATGTACGCCTGGTCCCTCAGTGAAGACCGTATGTGATGTTCATCTTCCCAGACGTCACCTCAGTGCCTATGTTTGAGAGGAGCCCAGCATACGCCAATGCTGCAACATCTGTTACCATGGCAATAACCCTTTTCCCCACTTTCCAACCCAGCTGTGTGGTTTGTGCATCCGAAAGGCTCTTGAAAAATCTGCTGAGGTTTCAGAGTAGATCGGTTCCAGTATCAGTGTTTAATTTGTTTTATAAAAATGAAAATGAAAGGTGCTGGAAACGATTTGACGCTCGGTCGACTCCAGCGACAGCAGCCAAACAAGTTAGCCATATTTACCAGCTTTTGTTGAGTGGGGTGGAAAAAAGTGTCTACAGAGCTACGGGCCCCACCCGGGCCTGACTGTTTGGGTCCACTTGTAAATGAATCACTATTTGGGAAAGGGAATGTTGAGATGGAGTGGATACCTTACTGCCTGTGGAAGCACAAAGTGTTTCCTCTAATTATTCCAAGGTTTCCTGAAATGCTGTTGTCTCTGTAAGGATTTCATTTGGCCCCAAACGCCGTTTTGCTTTGGTTTAGCGGTTGCGATGCTGCTCTGGTTTCATGTTCTCTACGGCTTCCGAGAATATTTTGTTCCTTTGACTCCTCCAAACCTGTCCCTGATGACCTTTATCTGAAAATGTGAAACAGTTTCTCATTGTAATATTTTTCTACTCGCATCATATCAGTATTTGGTTAGAGCATCATCACATTATCCTTTATATATTATTTTTCTTTCAGATTTATTGAGTCCGTTTCTTTAGGCTTTTTTTTTGGTTAATATTTGCTGTTGAGTTTCATCCTTTGTGTACGTTTGTTTCATGAAGTCACTCAATCACACGTGGATCGTTTTGTATTAACACCAAAGTTCTGAAACACTTGAGTTGGCGTCACTGTGCGCGTCTGGGTTGGGTTTTCTTTAAAGTCACCTTTGGGTTTTTTGTTGACTGAGTTTTGGCTGTTAGTCATTCTGAGCTTCGTTTTTTTGTTTCCTTAATAAAGGCTTCATTAAATTAATTTAGTCGTGTCTTCTTTTTCACTGACGTTTAATGCGGTGCGTTACCAAAGGTCACATGTGGCCTCTCTTGCTGATAGGGAGGCTGTAAACGGTTATATGAAGTTATGAAGTTATTTTCCAGATATCACAACAAAAGTAGTTTTAGAGGTTATTTTTTTCTCTAACATAAATGTGTAAAATCCTGGGTTTAAAAAGGGCATCTTGCTGAATTCCATTCCTCCGTGCTACATGTTAGCGCCCAGCTGTAGGACTGCCTGGACCTTATTTTAATGACTCTTATGTACCGAGGGTGTTTCCACTCAAGTGCAGTTATCTTTATTCCCCAGAATAACATCAGGAACTCATTTCACAGAACGATCTGAAGCATTTACAACCGAAAGTAGATTTGACCATCTCTCCTACAAAAGAAATTTGGTTTAGAGCATGGACGTAATTTTGGGGGGGGACAGGGGGGACATGTCCCCCCCACTTTTTCCAAAGTCAAGTTTTGACCCCTGCACTTTTTACCATCCCAAAAACAATATTACGCTATATTAAATTGACACTGGTTGAGCTCTAGGACCAAGCAGAAAACAACCGTTTGTGTTGAAGCCTGTTTCCCATTAGAGCATACTGTAAAGATCCCCCCCCCCCCCCCCCTTGTGTCCCCCACCTCTAAAGTGAAAATTACGTCCATGGTTTAGAGCCATACGTTCTACTGGCTCCTCCTGGACTCACGAGGGTTTACTGGAGTAAGGTCTTTTAAAACCAGCTGTCGCTACAGCATCATCTTCCATTGTCTCAAGTATGTAGAAAAGCACAGATTCCTCTGTGTGTCAGAAAGTTGCATAAATAAGGAAGTGAGCCGACAGCTGTTGGCCTAACAGGGTATCTGCAGGTCCTTAAAAAGTCAAATTTGCTTTTCCAAATTTAAGGCCTAAAAAATCCTTAAAAATGACAAATAATCCTTTCCAAAGCTTCCTTTCCAAAGTTTCCAAAGCTCTTAAATGACCAAAGACCCAATAAACAAGATTCTTTTATTTCGATAAAATTTTCGTGAATTTCTAGTTAGTGTTCAGCATTTTTTGTATATGATATTGGCGTAAGCGGAACCGTACACGTTCGGTTGGTTGTGAAAGGGGGCTATTTTTAGATGAGCATGCTAGCGGGAGTTTGTGCCATGGGGAAGTGCAACATTAATGGTAACTGGATGGCTAATCCCACGTTCACGACGTGGTTAGCGCCGGTTCCAGGCAATAGCTGGAAATTATAGCTTAAATTTAATTTAAAAAAATAGCTTACATTTGGTCCAAGTGGCCTTAAAAAGTCTTAAATTTGGCTCCCTTAAACCTGCAGATATATACCCTGCTACCAGTAAAACACATTTCAGCCTGGATTTAGTGTGTTTACAATAAATTCTACTTGTTGGGTTCGCACAGGCGACTCTACAAGGTCACGCTGCTGTGGACACGTCGTGCATGAAAACTGCCAACACTGCCCGTCTCAGTGTAGATAGAAGTAAAATGTTCAACTAACATTTAGAGATGATTGGTGTGTTTTTAGGAAATGTAAAAAAAAAAAAAAAGTAGACCCCAAGAAAATACTGTAAGTCAAGTACAGATACAGAAAAACTGTATTTAAGTATTTAAAATGCAAAGTACTTTGCCACATGCCATCACTGCACTCAGGGCTGGTATAAAACAGCACGTTCCTCTGAACAGTCACCACTTCATTTGTGATTATTTAAACAAAAGCACAGAGACCGGTGACACTTTGAGTGTATTGATTTACAAAAAGGAGAGCAAAAGGTCAAGAACTAGCTCGCACCTGATGACTAAAGCTACTTGTGAAAACATATCGACTCTAAAACTCATTAAGTGATCATTTGGATAAAAAGGTTCGACTAAATATGACGACCAAAGACGACGGCCACGAGCTAAAGCTCTTAAAAGGTTTGTAAAAACAGTTTCTGCAGAGTGGTCCGTGACTTTTGTGGCCTCATTACTGCTGCAGACTAAACTGCTGGGATTAAACTAATAAATTAATCTTAGTCTAAAATAAAATTTAAAATGCGGCTTTGTGAATGTATAAGTGACGTCTCATTCTTCATCGAGGACCATGGCATGAATGAAGAGGCCGGCTGAGGGTAGGAGGTCTCCGTTCTTGTTGAGCAGAGGTACGTGTCTGTATCCTGTGGGGGGGAATAAAGCAGTCAGGGATCAGAAAAACCCAAACCTTCCTCTGAGAGCGGCTGGTTCCTTTTTCTGTTCTTTCATGAACAGACACACAAGCATCAGTGGTTTCATGACTACAAGAGAAAAAGGACTTAAATAAACTCACCCATTTTTAGACTGTTGAAAGGAAGCGTGTACTGCCCGACAAACTCGTTATCAGACGTGGAGTCGTAGTCCTCGATGACGAAGCGAACTAGCGCTAGGTCTGGCACATATACATCAAACTGGAAGTTCTCGTTCCAGGCGGGGTTAAAACCTTAAAAGCACACAAGAACGTATACTAAATCATCAGCAGGAGTTGTTTAGTCATCTTTTAACCCACTTTTACTCCTGGGCACGTTTCTTTGTGTGCTTTCTGACTCCCGGAGGGCATGGAAATGTGTGCAGCTCGTGGTTTACGTGTCAATCAATGACAAGGAGGGAACGTTTACATGAGTGACTCATCAGTCAGTCATCTGTGGCATTTTAACCATTCAAAGCAACTCAAAATATGCAAAAAATGCTATGAAAGCCTTCAGGAAAGATTCAAAATGTGACAGCTGAGGACCAGAATGTACCATTGTTATCAACAGGACTTGTCTCTTTCTCTGCGACGTCAGCCGGCACTCCAAAGATCTGCACTCTAACCAGCGGGTCCACTATGGAGGACTTCTTCTTGTTCACTTTGGGCAACTGCTGTGCCGATATGATCTGGTGGCAGACGGAGATGGAGACTGCAGATCGGTTTCTACTGCAGAACGTTTGTGTTAATACTGATGACCTCACCATGATGTGCAGTATCTTGTGCTTCAGCCACTCTCCTCGGGTCAGGGTGATGGGGTCAAACTCGGTGCTCCTGTCCCTCATGTAGGACGGCTTGAGGACGTATCCACAGTTGCCGTTGACGACGAATCGACCCTGGTTCACGTCCATTTCCTTGCAGCCTGTCTGGAAGTTTAAGGCAACTGGAACAAAAACCAAACCGACAGACCAGGAGATGTGATGGATTCGATACGAGGTTATCAGTTATCTGCTGATCTGATTAGCTGTCAGATGGGAATTCCAGTCTTTACCGATCTGACAGCCGGCGTTCCACAGAGGGACTGGGTCGTAGTTGGAAGAGTTGGTCCTGGAGCCCGCAGGATAAACGCGGCTCAGTTTCTCCACATTATGACGGATGTAGTCGTTTGCTGCAGAAAGAAAAAAAATACAACAGGAAGTCAGAAACTATTCATGATGGTTTACCTGAGAGTCCACAACATGAGTACCGTCAGAAGTTACGCATTTACCCGACTCATCTGCCAGCTTCACAGCTCTTCCCTCCTTAAAGGAGGACATCTCATAGAAGCTCAGGGTTTTCCTGGCATCCTTGAAGCTGTGAAAGTGGACGCTCTTACAGTAGATCACCATGTCAGACAGCTCTTTGGCTAGTTTCAGCTTTTTCTTCAACACACCAGAAAAAGGGACGAGTTAGGGTTGGCACTGACTCACGAGCACTCGGTCAACATCCCACCAACCTTCTTCTTCTCCTTTAGCTCTTCCTCAGCGCTCTCATCATTTGACTCTTCCTCCTCGGTCACGTCGACGCTATCAGCGTCTGCCGCTTTGTTTGCAAAAGTGGCCTCCAGTTTCTGTAATCTCTTTCCTTTGATCAGGAACTTCCCTTTCAGTTCCTGGAGGAAATCGGATCACAGACACACATTTACACAACTTGTCTTAAACTCTTCGAGCATCCTGATGGAACAGGCTGAAGGAACCTCTGGAGATGGGAAGTTTGTCGGCATGTTGTCGCCTAGGGGAGAGGTGACGAGCGCACTGCCGAGGATTGAGCTCATGTGTTGGGCCATGACCACCTGCTGCTCCAAACTGCAGTGGTTCTCCAAGGAGAGGATGACCGGATAATCAGACGTCTGCGAGAACACCAAACAAATTCAAGCATTCCCCAAATATGACATTTTGCACAAAGCTAACGCTGTCGTGCTAATCACTCAAGATCCTACATGATCCACTAGCCCTCTGAGCATGTGTGTGGAACGACTCTCAGCCACTAATGCATCAAACCTTAGCTTAGCATGTGTAAAACATAACGAGTTACAGCCACACCTTAAAGGCATTCTCCTTGATGGCTTTGATCGCATCCTTGAAGAGAATCTTTGAGGTTAAGGTGTAACCGTGGTAGATGACTGGCTCGTTGTCTGATCCATCCCAGCAGTCCAGCTCCACACAGCGGCAGCCCTTCAGCAGAGCTCTGAGAAATCCAAACCCAGCATCAGTTACACAGTGGGATCGACGGGAGCTGTCATTGAAACGTTGGCTCAGAAAGGATGCTGCTGCCTCCATCTAAGTGCTTTCTACATAAGGTGGCCATTGGTTGTTCTTAACTATGATTTTCAACTGATCGTGGCTGTGTTGTCTTCTCTGTCAGATTATTTGTTTAGAAGCTTTCTGTGTCTAATGCAACATGATCACCAGCTGAACTTGCTTGACTCGATGCTGTCAGGTGCGTACCTGACATAACCCTCAGTACTGCTGGGGCCTTTGAGCTGATCCTCCGTGAGGTAGGTGTTGTGCGAGGATGAGATAAAGTAGTGGTTTAGGGGCTGCTGCATGTCCTGGTACACCTCAGAGTGCTCTGGATTCAGAATCATGGCCTCCACATTGTGCAGGTACATGAGGAAGCCATCTTTGGACAGCAGCTTCTTCTCCTTGGCTGCAAGAACACAAACACGAGTCGTAGATGAAGAGTTTTAATTTAATTCATGTGTCCATCGCATGTTTTCCCATTGACCTAATTCCCAGAGCAGCAGAATGAGCCGTTTTTTGTGGCTAAAAGCCCTCTTATTGGGCCCCTAAAACAGAAATTTTGCATCCTGTTGCGATGCCATGTGGGTCTCTACTGCTGCTACAAACACTCATGAAAAAAAACCTGCCCATCCATTTTCTGTAAGTGTTTGGTTTTAGGGTGTATCTGCCTAAAATGAGCCGTTTCAATAAACTTCCTATTTGTGATGCCACACATGGGGGGAAAGTAGAATAGAGCCACCTCTCATGTGAAAGAGAGAACTGCTGATGAAGACATATCCTCACAAATAAGGAGCTTCTCAGCCTATAGCAGCCTGAGCAGAGGATGGATAGGCGTGGCAAGCTCCAGCTTGTTTTCTTAAAGTGACAGAGCCCTGAAACGACTCATTCTGGAAGGTACTGAAGAAAAAAACGTTAAAATCGCTTTATGTGAGAGGGATTTTTTGCAAAGAGCTTCATCAAACATATTTAACTTTTAACTTTAATGTCTCACGGCTGGCCAGGGAACGCCTTAGGAGCTGGTCCAACTGGCTGGGGAAAGGGAAGTCAGGGCCTCCCTGCTTAGGCTACCATCCCCATCCCCGCAAGTAGCCGAAAACGGACGGATGGACTTTAAATACAAAACTACACCTGATAAAGAATCTTATTATAAACAAAACTGTAAATCATAAATGAGCATATGTGATGTAAAACTGTTATTACAGATGAGATACAAACCCTGCTCATCTGGCTCATATTTCTCAATGATTTTTTGAGCATCAGCCAACGTGGCTTTCTCTCTCTGCTCCTTCATCAGGAAGCCCACCAGGTTGTCAGCGCTCATGAAGCCCGTGGTCTTGGCGTACTCCCCGTAGATCACATCGATTTCCTCCCGATTGGTCAGGAGGTCATAGAGATGAGCGATCTCCTCTCCATCAAGGTACCCAGAGTTTGACTTGTCACACTTCTGAGTTGTGGAAATGGAACAAAAAGGTTACTTAAAACAAAGCAGCACAGAAGTGGTAGTATTCAGTATTGAGATAAATTTGTATTGAAATTCATTAAAACCCATCTGAGCTGTTTTCAGGGTTTCTACTCATCTGCACCACCTTGAACAGCATGTCTGCATAGTCATCATCCATTTCAATGTTGATGAGATGCAGGAAGCTCTTGACCTCCGACGGACTCAGCTTATCGTCTTTGTTCTTGTCTGCTTTCCTCAGACAGCTGAAGATCCAACTGGGATGTTTTTAATGGAAGGCAAATAACATGTTTCTGACTGGTTGTTACAACCCAGCTGTCTAGGGGGCCTGGGGTAACATGGAGGACGCATGACACAAAGGAAAATTAACAAAGGTTTTGTTTACTTTTCTCCTTTGTTTTTTTTTTGTCTTACTCTAGAAAATAAACCATGGAACAATCCATTTAACCAAAACAGGCTCAAACAATAAAATGTAACATAAAAAATCTCAAAAAGGTAACAGATTTTTCCTAATGCTTATTTCTTTTCGCTAATCGATATCAAAGCCCTAAGTGGGAGACAACAGACCAGAGGAAAGGCAGCTCTGCACTATTGTCCCCATTGGACGTGTGTGTGTGTGTGTGTGTGTGTGTGTGTGTGTGTGTGCGTGCATGCGTGCGTGCGTGCGTGCGTGCGTGCGTGTGTGTGTGTGTGTGTGTGTGTGTGTGTGTCTGCTCTGTCTTCTCGATCCCCAGTGAGTCGTGGAGGATGGCTGCTTTTACTGAGCCAGGATTCTCTGGAGGTTTCTTCCTGTTAAAAGGGAGTTTTCCTCCCCACTGTTGCTACATGCTTGCTTAGTATGAGGACTGCTGTAAAGTCACTGACACTAGTTAGTGACTTGATGCAATTTGCTGGGTTCCTTATATAGGACACATTATTTCTGATTGGCTTAATGAACTGACCTGAATTGGAATGTTTATCATGTGAAGTGCCTTGAGACGACTCTTGTCGTGATTTGGCGCTTTTTAAATAAACTTGAATTGAATTGAATTGGTGAGGAGCGCCAGCAGGTCCTTTAAGCTATCAGCGGCTGATGAAAACCCGGCTCAGCTGGTGCAGGGAGGAGCAAGGGTGAGCAAACAGGCCACAGTCTGCAGGCATGCTCCTCAGATGCAGCATCAATGAAAACAACACAAAAAGGCTCCAGCCGTAACACTGGTGTTGTGATCTGTTTTTGACGTTTTTTATGTAAACAAAGTCACACCCATGTAAGGATACTGCTCTGTGGTCTGCATGCGGTTCAGGTTGTTTACGTTGGAAACCAGTTTCTGCAGGCTTTTGATCCACTGCTTGGACTCCTCCTCTGAGCTGGCGATGAGGTCCAGGTTTTTACGGCGACCCTTAAAGACGATTGAGAAGCAGCGGCACTCCGCCTGCTCCTCGGCGTTCTTCTTTAAACCCTCTGACTGGCGACCCATTCGCACCTCTTGGATGTCAGCGACTGGAACTAAGCCGAAAAAAAAGCCCCCACATGTTTACATTTGTGCTGCTTGCGCTACATCCGTCATGGTTTATTGTTCAGTGAGCGAGGACAGTGTTTTGGTATTTTACAGCCTTGTTGGTGAACACACTGCTGAAGGATTTTCATTTGACTCTTTTTGAAGTCTGCAGTCTTTCTTAAGAGCAAAGTTGTTTCTCCTGCAACTTTGTACACAAGGCAAAGTCAATCCAGACGTCATCATGCTGGCTTATCAGCCTGCAACCACATGACAGTTGTTTAGACTTCAGGAAGAAATGACAACAAGACTCGTCTGAAGTGTCACACTGAGCTAATATCACGACTAACCCAATTGTGTGATAACACCAAGGACATCCAAACCAAATGACCCATCCTCCTCTCTGAACCATGAGGTTAAATACATCTGAAGTGAATTAAGCTTCATCGCACATACTGGAAAGTTAAGGGTAAATGAGGTGTGTGGGACTTGTAAAGACTTGTGTGCATGGCAGCAACGCACATGTCTGGCATGACTTGAAGGTTTTCTTGGATTCACGCCACATGGTTTTGCAGTCATCCTGGAGTCTCAGAAAACGAGTCTTCTTCCAGGATGGGGACAGGACTTTGAGCAGGTCTCCACCTTTCAGAAGGAACTGAAGGTCCGGATCGCCCTCCATACCTGAGAAAAGAACCAAAAGGGAAAACTCAACTGAATCATATTTTTGCTCAAACCGGTTTAATGAACCCTCATTCCCCGCACTGGTGTCAAACTAAAATGTGTTGAAGCGGAATGTTTGGTACGGAGCTTAGAGAGAAGTTTATGTCTAAACCATTAATGGCCACTGGGCATGCGCGTGACCCCGGATCGCATTCAAGAACAGAAACAAACATACCGAGAAGTTTGGCGCTTATTTGAATGGTCTTCTGGGCGGTGGCATGGTGCAGAAACTCCTCCGATCGGCTGCGTTTGGGCTGCTTCTGCACGCAAGACATGGTGCTGCTGGCTTCACGAGCGGACACGCTATCGGTGTGTTAACGAGGCGCTACGAGCTACCAGTGTGTGTGTGTGTGTGTGTGTGTGTGTGTGTGTGTGTGTGTGTGTGTGTGTGTGTGTGTGTGTGTGTGTGTGTGTGTGTGTGTGTGTGTGTGTGTGTGTGTGTGTGTGTGTGTGTGTGTGTGTGTGTGTGTGTGTGTGTGTGTGTGTGTGTGTGTGTGTGTGTGTGTGTGTGTGTGTGTGTGTGTGTGTGTGCTGTTACTTATTCCCCGAGACAGTCAGCTGACAAGCTGGAGGCAGACAGTTTAGTCGTTCCCACTCTAGTTTATTATTATATGTTTCATGGGGAACTTATAGTAATCATAATAATAATATATATTTTTAAATGACACTCCATGGTAACTTCAGAAATTTAACTAGAATGCAAGGAAGCCAAGGTTAGCTGTAGGTGCTGCGTTGAGGTCTAAAGATTTACTTTTTGAATATTAAAAATCTATCGTGATTTGAAAAAAAGATTGCTTTGTAATGAAGAAATTCTAGCTTTTATGTTTAATCATCTAAATGTCTTGGTTTTCTGTCGCCACCTAGCGGTGACCTAGGCGTACTTCCGAATGCTGGGATTTCCCAACCCCAAAAGTCTAAAAAACTTAGAATATTGCTCTCAAAACAAGAAAGACAAACACATCAGATGCTAACGTGTGTGGTGTGTGGTGATGTCCCGGTTTCTCCCTGCAGACCTGGGGTTTGGTTTCAACCGTAACTCGGCGTGGTTTAAGTGTAATAAAATGATTGCACCGGGCCACACCTTTTGGCAGAGTCTAGACTAATCCTAACATAAATTTAGACTGCTTAGAAATATTTTGTGTTTGATTTATCAGCAAAATTATCAACAGAATGCTTGAGCTTTCTCATGAGGAAACAACAGGAAATACTGAATTTCAACTTCTGTTGGATATTTAAGTAGATTCACCCCAATTATGTAAAACACTGCTTCTTTATTTTTTTTGTTAGGTTTTTCTTCCAAATTTGTGCCTTACCTTGTGTTTTCTTTTCTATCCCATTATTTTCCATTTTTTTCTCATGAATCTTTCTCCTTTTTTCTTATTTTCCCAGATCTTCTTGTTTTGTTCCTGCTTTTCTCTTCATCTCAGGTGGACCGCCGTCTCAGGTGTGGTCCCTCTCTGCTTCCATGTGCGCGGTCTGTAAAGGAAACCTGCTGTAGATAAACACGACCCGACTCAGCCACTCTCGGGTGGGTGAATGCTTGTAACCTGCTGCAGGCTTCAACACCGGTTTGACAAGCCTGCCATTCAAGCCGCTCTGCTGATGTCACAACAGGGTAGGTTACGCCTCACATGAAGTTGTGCTTTCATGCACTTCACAGGCTGGGATGACCTTGTAGCCAGCGTGCTTCATTATTATAGTTCCCCCATTTTCATGCAACCACTGTGGAGAAAACAGTCGACATTCTTTTATGATCCTGTTGTGTGAACACAAAGCCCTCCGACTCTCCCACAGCAAACTCTCCACCAAAAACAGACGTGTGTGGGAAAAACTGGGAGGGGAAGCTACTCATAATGCAATATGAAATGAATATTTCTACCCCAGTCAAAGCCTCAGGCTAAAACACCTTCACATGAACAGAAGCCCCTCAATACCAGAGACTAAAGGTGAATGCTAGTTCTTTGCAGAGTACTTTTCATTTTCACTTCCCACAGTTGTTTGTAGATTATGAGGATATTGGTGGTGTGGAACAGGCCATATCAAGTCGTTACTTCCCTATCCGTGTGCAGCTATGTGCTGGCAGGATAATAGCCCTGCAATCAGTGGTGCGTAGGGGCTCCTGTGGCTCTCAGCACTTCCCTTTCAGGCCTGGCTTACCCTCAGCGCGCTGTCAGCATCAGCATGAGCCGAGCTTTACTGCTGCATCAGAGGGAGAGCTTCCAGACAGGGTCCGACCCCCCCCCCCCCCACCACCCCACCCCCTACCCCCATCCGCAGAGCTCAGAGACACAAGCAGGAAACCCCAGCTGCATCAAGTTTTACTTTAGTAGCTGTTTTCATGCACTACACACACGATTCACAGGTAAATTTTTATATTATTTCTCACATTTATAGAAAATTCTATGAATAATGAACATAGAGCCAGTCGAAATAATGAGTTAAATAAAATCAACTGTAAATTACATTTAAAAAAATTAAGTAAAACTCAAAGCTCAGTAAATAGAACTTGCTGGGAGGGGTGTGTGTGTGTGTGTGTGGGGGGGGGGGGGGTCTGTGGGAGAATTGTGTGTATTTGCTTGGAGCCTTTTGCTTGTGAAGCAAGCAAGAACAAGCCCAGCTGTTTCCTCACATGCCACTGATGCCATCTGTAGCTGCTCTTCTCCATGACTCAGTGAACTGTTCCTCGTGCCCCTCTGCTACCAAATGCGCAAAAAGAAATGAAATTCAAAGACTCTTATGTCTGTCTCTTGTTTATCTTTTATTGTCTCGTTTTCCTTCTTTATTACTATTATTACTTGTTTTTCTGTCCCTTATATGCTGGAGTGTTGTGCTTCTTTCTGTCTGTACAATTTCTGTTTTCCTACCTGTGAGGCTGGACTACGAGTCTGGACTTGATGGGTTTTCCAAACCAACTTGGGTCTAACTAGGCATTGACCGTTTTCAGCCTGAATGCCATGTTTAAGGTCAAAGGTCATTTACAGTGTTGGGAACGTTACTTTAAAAAAGTAATTAGTTATAGTTACTGATTACTTTGTCAAAAAAGTAACTCAGTTACTAACTGAGTTACAAGATCATAAAAGTAACTAATTCCCAACAAAAATAACTACTTAGTTACTTTTTTCATTAAAGAATGCAAGAATGACTACAATAGTGAAATATAAATGACTAATGACTGGAACATAATAAAATGTCCAAATGTTTTTTATAAACCTGAATAATTTAAATAAATAAGCACTTAACAGGAGGAACTACTAACAAGAGCATTACACTTATCTAGACTATTAAAAGGTCACTGTGTGATATTTAACAAGACCCCGATCAGCTAAAATTTAAAATTGCAAATAGAAACACCTGTAAAGGTTCCTGAGCCTTTAAATGGTCTCTCACTCTAGTTAAATTGCAGAAATAAATGTAATTTTGCACAGTATTTTAATTTTTCCAGCTTCACATAATTGTCTGTTATTAGCAGCATTTCTGTTGCTACTAATCTAGTAATGGTTAAATAAATAAATAAAATCCTTTAAAATGACACTAGAAGAGGCACAAGCCTGATGGAGGACTTACATTTACTAACTTGGGTCAGACCCAACCACAGAAGAGCTGAAGCTGGGTGGTAAACACACACAGGTAGTTCTAATAACACCTGAGCTCCATGACGTCTGAGACTGATGCAGCAGTGTTACAGCGGGACTAAAGACATGATCAGAAACAGGTTACAGCTGGATGATCTAGGAAGGTAGAAGATCAGGACGTCTGAGCGGTGAACAGATGAGCGGACCTTCGGGACGTCCCGCTGCCACGCTAAGAAGGGCACGGCTGCAGACCCGCAGATTTGCTGCTGCCTCTGCAGCCTTAGACAATACGGTTAATTGGTGGCCTCCAGGGCACTTAAAAAATTTCATGGGAAAATTTAATGTTGTGGATATTTGAAGAAAAAAATGTCCAGATGATAGACTCTTTACTTGGAGCAATAAGACAGGATCCAGGCAATCACGTATTGACTTCTGGCTTGTTTCTGACTGCATTGATAAAGATAATATTACCGTTAATATACATGCCACCCCCTCACTGATCATAGAGCAATTGCTTGGATGAAAACATCTACCTTTTTAGCTCCTGGTCAGCTGATGACAGCTTCAACACACCGCGCTGCTTAACGCACGCATTTTCTTATCAGTAACAGAAACGATCGTTTTGTTAAAAGGAGACGGTAATTAATTAGTTTGCTCGTTACTGAAAGAATTCTTTTTTTTATTAACGCGGTTATTTTAAACTGTGTTATTCCCATCACTGCTCTGTTGTGTCTGCAGCAAGCAGTGACTGAGACCGTGAGGGTCTCCGCCCACCCGGCCAATCATCATCGTGTTTGTAAGTGCGTTACCGACACCTCTCTCTCCCTGGCTGCAGCTGAAGTGTTGCAGTCAGAAAGCCTCACACTGTTGCTCAACGTTCGACAAGCACACAGTAACGCACAACCTTCCGTCCCCAGTAACGGTAACGGCGTTGCAACAGTGGGAAAAGTAATTAATTAGATTATTCCGTTACCTAAAAAAGAACGCATTAGTAACGCCATTATATTTAAACGGCGTTACTCCCAACACTGGCCATTTATTCCACCTCAGACATCAGCGATAGATTAGCTACATGCCAACCAGAAGCCAAAGGACGTCCTCGGTCAATTGTAGCAAGAGAAACACGATTGAGCAGCTCCAAAGTGAAACGACATCAAGTCAAATTGATGTATTGTTTCTGTAATCTCCCTCAGAGCACTCCACAGGCGACCAGCACTACAGCATTGTATGGAAGCCAGGTGGCTGCACATCTTGGCCCCTCGGGAGACGGGAACGTGCCACCTGCGTAAAGCAGCCTCTGAAGGATGAAGCAACAGATTTGCAGATCTCTAATCGCTGTTAAAGGGAGAGCCACGTTACCAAAAATCGGCAAACCTCCATTCTGCTGCAGCGACCTCGCGGACCTTTGACCGCAGTGGACCAATGAAGCCCCAAAGCTTTTGCTAGCTAGCCTCAGTCAGCTTACACAGCTCGAGTTTTGGTACCCCGTGGTGCCCATTTGGCTAGCCAACACGATATATTTCAACCAAATTTTTGACCAAGCAGTGTTTTGTTAAATGCACACAAATGCACAGCATTTCCCCCATTCACTTAGTGAAATAAAGTACAGAAATACAAATTTATTTACTTAAAAATAAGCCGAGACTTTTTTAATTCTCTGTTACTGCAGTCAATTCCAAAAATTCCACGATAAACATCCAAACACAAACACACAGAGGGCACAGCTTAAGTTCAGGGTCAAAATGCTGAACATCTAATGACGTGAGGCGGAGGAGGAATCCTACCCCTGAGCTAGCCACTAACGCTAGCTCTGGCGTGGCTCTGACACTCCTGCTTCTTGTCATTCAAATCTAATTATTCATAATTTCAAGCATTAAATTACACCTAAATGAAAGATTTACAAAAAATTCACCCCACTCAGAGATGTCATGGTGTTAAACTACAGCTATTAAACCTAAAATGTTTTTTTTAAACAGGCTGAAAACATGTTCATTCCTGCTGTGAAATCGGGAGTCAATGAGGATTTGCTCACTTCTGGTGCCAGCCCCTAGCGGATGAGGGGGGAACAGCAATTTCGGCTTTTTTTTTTTTTTGCAGTTCTGGATGCGTGGGTGACCCATCAATGTTAGGGGTGACCCCTTGTGGGTACAACCCATGGACCTAATTTTCACTTTAGAAGTGGGGGGACACGGGGGTCTTTACAGTATGCTCTAATGGGAAACAGGCTTCAACACAAACGGTTGTTTTCCGTTTGGTCCTAGAGCTCAACCAGTGTTAACTTAATATAGCGTAATATTGGTTTTGGATGATAAAACGTACAGGGGTCAAAACTTGACTTTGGAAAAAGTGGGGGGTGGAACATATCCCCCCTGTTCCCCCCCAAAATTACGTCCATGAACCAAAACAAACATGATATCAATAGAAGAGATCAGTAACCAGGGAATTTTGAGATCATGGCAGATAAAAAAAGACTGCAGCAGTATTGTAGGTGAATGAATGAATGAATGAATGAATGAATTATTTGTTTCAGATGGACACATAACGTGAATTACAATACAGTCATTGTACACAGTGTTGAAGCATTTCTGAGTATATTGTAGATAGTATGAAAGACCTCTAAAGAGACCTTGGTGAGGGTGTCTTGCTTGTTTTGTCAACGTCACCTATTTATACTGCAGCTTGCACTATAATTTTTGGGGATGCACACCAATAACGCTTCAAATAAATGCAATTTATGCAAGTCAGCAATTTTAGGCATGCATGTGTGTCATTAAAAAAGAGTGGCAACACATGACATCACACCCTGAAGATCCCGCCAACCAACTTCTTCTGTGAGGCTTGTGTTTATGTGTGGATGTGCGTTATTACCTGGATGTAAACAATAACATTCAAGGGGTCTATAAACTTAGAAGCTCAGATATCCAGAAGGGGCTCATAGTAGAGCCACTTCTACAGCAGCAGCTCTCTCTTTCACATGAGGTAGTTCTAGTCTACTTTCGCTGTTTGTGACATCACAAACAGGGACTTTTTGAAGCAGCTTGTTTAATAATTAAAACCACTGACAGAAAATGGATGGTGTTTATAAAATCAGGTGAGACCCATGTGGCAGCAAAACTGTTTTAAATGTGAATTTTTCCTAATATGTCCCCATAAAGTATGACAAACAAAAAAAGCAAATACAGAAGCTATTTTCACACTTTATGTACTTTATTATGGATTAATTTGGTGTTTTATAGCTTGCCAGGAAACAAACATCAATATCATACACCTTATTTTTCCTATGATTATTCATTTTGATGCTATTCTTTGGTTTATTTTAAAGAAACAAATAATTTCACTTCTTTAAGATGTCACAAATAGAAGAACGTTTGCTAGAGTTTTTTTTTTTTTTTAGATTTTGTTTGGAAACTTTTCTCAAGTATGATGAAAATGATCTCACAAAATGGTGTCAACACAGCGCCTTTTGCTGGCTAAAGCTTGTTTTGCAGCGTGCAACTGACACGGTACACCAGTGATGGCAAATAATTAGACATTACAATAACATATCGCAGTCGGTGGACATGTTATGGCTTCTTCACGCGGATGGCTCTACCTGACTATGTTGTTTGCAATATATTTTATATGTTTTTTATTTTTATTTTTTTTGCTATTGAGCCACAGCTTGTTCCCACCTCCTACTTTGTACGTAAGGCGCTGCGTCAGCCGCGCGTAAAGTTGTGTTGACAGGGGCGGCAGCGGCAGGAGTTGTCAGCGGAACCAGCCTCACCGGAGCCGAATGGCGTAATCTCAAAGCTATAATTCTACACGGCGCCTGCGTTATTGCTGCCAAGCGTTTTTTTGTATTCTCCAAGGAACAACAATGGCAGATGAGCAGCCCTCTCAGTCCTGGTCAATCGACAGGGATGACTATGAACTCAATGAGGTGATAGGTGAGTAGCTTAGCTTGCTAGCATCTTGCTTAGCCCCCCTCCCCACCCCTGTCTTTACTTCTGCGCTTGCTGCTAGCTTTATTAGCTGTTAGCATTATGTGAATGTAGCTAGCAGGTCAAGCCACAACCCTTAGCTTTATAAACATCACCGCAGTCTCCCTTTGGGGAGGCTAAAGATTCGTGCTAGTTGTAGAGTTAAAGCGAAACTATTTCTTAGGTGAAGAGCATAAAGCTAAATAGCTTGCTAGTGCAATGTAGCCGGTGTTGTGCCGTAAAATGTACCCCTGCCATATATGTACCTCGCCCTCTCGTGGCGAAAATGCGGTTGAAAGCTGTTTTAGTCTTAAGAAACTAGTCGAGCTTCCTTTAGGAATAGACCTAGCTACAGCTGTTTCCGTTTCCAACAGGCCAGACCGCTAAGTTTCCCTACAGGAAAATTACTGTTGCAAGTTTAGAATATTTTTAGGAGTTGATCTTTGTGCCTGTAGCGCTTCCTTGTCAGCCTGTTTTACCATGAAGCACATTTCTATGAATGCTTTGCGGCAGTTGTGTTGAAAACCGCAGGTCTGTGACTTGTTTGTTTTCTAAATTCATGAGTGAAGTGTTTTGAAATGTGCTTTCCATAGTGGGGGTGCTTTTTTCACCACAACACCTGCAAATGGAAGAATGGCATTGTTTGTAGAACAGCTGTTGTTTCTGATGAAAAAGAGCTGATGCATAATAACTAATCTTACTGTATCATAGACTCAGCTGTTAGGGTGGTTTGTTTAGAAAACCAATATCTCAAATATTTAACTCATTCAAAACTAAACAATTCAACTGTGTTTAGTAAAAATGAGTTATTTTCTCAGACTAATCGCTGGTTTCTTTAGGGAGTGGAGCCACTGCAGTTGTTCAAGCAGCATACTGTAAGCCGAGGAAGGAGAAGGTGGCTATCAAACGCATCAACCTGGAAAAGTGTCAAACTAGCATGGATGAGCTTCTGGTAGGGTGTGTGTGTGTGTGTGTGTGTGTGTGTGTGTGTCATGACGTGTGTGGAGCTTTAAATTTTAATTCCACTCTAGTTACAGACAAACAAAGCTCTGTGCAGATAAGTTATGACACATCTGCAAACGCTTAAATGAATGAAGTTATTTTCCGACCCAGTCTGCCACTCAGTGAATAGATGATTACAAGTAAGAACATCACTCTTAAAGTTTTGTATAGTTTTGCACTTTGGGCTCTTTTCTCAGTCAACAAACCACTATTTAAAACCTCTTGTGATTCCTACCATTGCAACTGTCTCAAACATTGATGGCCTGCAGTCTAGGAGTGGACTTAATGATCCAGTCCTTGGTTCAAAAACTGGATTGTGGAGCAATCACAATGAGTGGAATGTCAGCAATTGTTTAATCCTGTGAAACGAAAGCCACAGGTCAAAGAGCGTAATCACAACTATGTCAAATCCAGTAAACCTATTAAGGCTTTTATTAGAGATTCTGAGCAAGCTGTGGAAAACCTGTTTTATTTTGTCTTTATTAACACATCAAAAATGAGTGAATGTTAAATATCAGTGTTACTGTGTATCTGAATGTTTAACCTGGTCTAGAGCTTTCACCCACACACTTAAGCTTGGTTTATGCTTGACGCATTCACTTTCCGCGCGGTGATGCGGCTCGCGGATGGAACGCGCTTCACAACTTGCAGCGTTTATGGTTCATGCGGCTCGTCTCTGCGGTGAGCCATTATTCTCCCAAACTGTAGGGGGCAGCATGGAGCTCTACAGCATGCATCCAACACTACACCATAGTAGAAGTAGAAATTACTGTTTACAACATGGCATTCCAGCGTTTCTAACAGCGTCCTCGTCTTTTCCGACAGTGCGAGCTATTTCTCTCCAAGAATTATTAACAACATGTTGATCACGATGACCTCTGAGAGCTGAATCATACAAATGTCTGTATTTACGAACCTCTGCCATACTAGTTCTTGCCAGTCTGCCATGTTTTTTCCGCCCGTCCGCGTGGTTAGAAATTTTCCTAGGTGCGCGTTGCGGAAATCTTGGGTCGTGCGGTGGAGGGGCGTGGTTGTTAAAATGACGCAAAATGATGCAACTTTTCCACGTGGAGCTGTGCGGACCTCGCAGACACGTCAAGCATAAACCAACTTCAGTGTTACTACATATCTGAATGTTTAACATGGTCTCTAGAGCTTTCACCCACACACTTATACCTGACTGAAAGCTCCACAGTCTACTTCTGTCTGTAAATTAGGCAGGAAAGATCTATGCAGTTTTATTCCAACACTTCTTACCTACACCTGCTTTAGTCAGACGGATAGGAGGAACTGCAGCAGTGAGATGACATCATTCATAACAGATTTAGAATAAACCATCAATAAAAGTTCAAATGAAAGGGAAGCTTGTGTTTGAACGTTTAATAAAATGTGTGGTTAGGATCTGTCTTTGTTACAATTCCTGCTCATTATGACCCATTGTCACTATTTGTTTTCCCCTTTTTTGTGCAGAAAGAGATTCAGGCCATGAGCCAGTGCCACCATCCAAACATTGTGTCTTATTATACCTCCTTTGTGGTGAAGGATGAGCTGTGGCTGGTCATGAAGCTGCTCAGTGGTGGTGAGTGCTGGAATAACCAGGAAACCTGACTTCCTCTCGCCTTTTATGTTTTCTTGTTCATTTTCCTTTTATTATCCAGTAGATGGGTTCAGCTGCTCCCCTCAGACTTTTAGGAGGTTCAGGTACTATCGGCACGTCTTGTGACGAGCCTCTGCTGTTTTCTCAGGCTCAGTGTTGGACATAATCAAACATATCATCTCACGTGGTGACCACAAGAACGGAGTGTTGGACGAGGCCAGCATCGCCACCATCCTGAAGGAGGTCCTGGAGGGGCTGGAGTACCTTCACAAAAATGGGCAGATCCATCGGTGAGTTCTGGTGCTGGTCTGCTTTACATAAAAGGCCTGAGTGAGCCGCTGCTGGGTTCGGCAAACCTCCTACTCAAAGAATCAGTTTCCTGGTGAATGTTGGACGTTGTCATCACAGGGTATCCGCGGGTCCTTAACTCATTCACTGCCAGCCATTTCCTGATCACTAACGGCCTTCGCTGCCAGCGTTTCTCACCATTTTTACTGTTTTTTTAAGAGTCACAGAACGTTACGCGCTAGCATGTTGTCG